GGATATTAGGTTTTTAGGTTGTGCTTTTTCAATGTTTTGAATGTCATTTTTTTTATAACTAGTCCCTCTGACTTGGTCAGAGACCTTTTGTGCTTCGACACTTTCATGCTAGTTCTCTCTTTTGCTAGGGCCTTTCATTCCGCATACTATCTTTCTGTCATACATCTCTTTCATTCCTAGGTTATACCTTTCCTATCGTGTTCCTGACTTACATTCTATTATACTATTTTTGTATTGGGATGTTTGGGAAGTTTATTTACATCTTTAATTCTTATTTCATTGTTATTATATTTCAATTATTTCAATATTTACAGTCATTTCCTATTGTACATTTCACATTTATCTTAAGGTAGGGGAAGGGAGGGCAAGATCGGAAGTCAAACTTTGTGTTGTAAAAACAAAAAAAAAATACATAGCATAATTTTTTTATATTAATCAATCTTGAGAGATGAGTGTAACACTAATATAATTCTGTAGTTAACAATAATTAATACTTGTTCCAAAATCCGTAACAATTAAAAAAGTATAATCGTGTCATATTCCATTACGCCCTCATGCAGAAGGCAAAATGGAAACCCTTATGCGGGTTCTGATGTTCTTTGTTCTCGTTGTCCAAATTATCCTATTTCTTACTGCCAATGACGTAAAATCCTCCAACACGGTTGATATAAATCCGTGCAGTCTTCCGCGACGTTTAGATGTACAAAGGCAGGCACGACAGTAAAAAAATGAAGCGAGACTTTGATGACGATAACTTGTACCCGATGACCGCGCCCTAACGGTGACCTTCAAAGTTCAACTTCTTGATGATCTTGACCGACGGCAGCTATCCAAATTTTGAGGCTCGAAGGACTAATGTTGAGGTTCGAAGGACCATTGTTGGATTCGATAGTTCGGCGGAGATAAGTAAAAGACGGTGGACTGTATAAAAGTGATGTCACAGCTCACTGATTGACGGGTGTTGGCCGCCGCGGTGCCACCTCTCTCGCTCGGGCAATGATCGCTGCGTCCCTTTCTGGATGACTCAACAGCGGGCCAGATGGAATATTAGGAAAGTCTTAGGGTTTACAGTTGATACATAAGAAATAGCCACGTTCTGTATCAGAACATAACTCATGTGCATAACTATTTTGATCAGTAATTAGTACTTATTGGTCTAGGTGTTCCAAATAACGACACCAAGTGTTCGACGTGTTCCAATGCTCGAAGCATCATGGTTGCTGTCTTATTAGTTGCGGAATTCAACGTTATATATTTTGTATAAGCATCGATTTTTTTTTATTTTAGGGAAACAAACAATAAGATAAACTTGTGGGATATGAATATACAAAATTACATATATCAGCTCAGTTTCCACTGGTAATAAGATACATATTATTAAAATTTAAAAAAGATTAACATACATAAAATCAAACATTAAAAACGTATACTGACTAATTTCTTCGGCAGTTATTAATAAAATCTAACATACTTAAATATAATTAAACGAAACAAAATTTAAAAAAAAAGAAGTAACAAAACACATTAAACAATATTAAAGGCATTAATGGCTACATCGGTTAAATTACAGGCAAAACATTTAACACGTCAGAACAAACTATGAATTGATACATAAATTAATCTAATAACTTTATTTTTAAAAGAATACATTTTTTCGAATAATATATCAATATCTGAATAAACTTTATTATAATTTTGGCAGCTACGATAAAAGAAGATATTATTATTACTTTTCGTTTTACAAACTGGCACATTAAATAATGGTTTACATCTAGAATTTATTGGGCACAATTAAATTCAATATTAGGCAATCATCATCATCATCAGCCAAAAGACGTCCACTGCAGGACATAGGCCTCCCCCAAGGATCTCCACGACGACCGGTCTTGTGCCACCCGCATCCAGCGGATTCCCGCGACCTTCACCAGGTCGTCGGACCACCTTGTTGGGGGCCTACCCACACTGCGTCTTCCGGCTCGTGGTTGCCACTCAAGAACCCGTTGGCCCCATCGGGCATCGGTTCTGCGAGCGATGTGCCCTGCCCACTGCCACTTACGTGTTGCAATTCTTCGGGCTATGTCGGTGACTCCCGACAATTGTAGCACCAGCTACCAATTGTAGCTCATATCTATCATTTGGTAGAAGTTTAATGATTTTATATGGCCCTCTCTTGCCACTGTCGAGCTTTCCAACGCTCTGAGACCGTTTAATTACAAAAACTAGATCATTAACCTGAAACTTATTGGGTGGCTTTCGATTTTTATTAGTAAAAGCGTCCTGATCATCTCTATTTTTGGCAATAAACTGATCAGCACGTTGACGTCTTATTGTACTGATAGCCTCGCGATTAGGGTTTGAACCCTCACAAGTTATATCTCTAATTAGTGAGTTAATAATTGGTGTGGTAGAATCAGTTCCAATAAGTAAATTTAAAGGAGAGTATTGAGTAGTTTTATGTTTTGTAATATTTAGAATTAGTTGCAATTTCCATAATATTTTTGACCAATCATTTTCATTATAATTAACTTCTATTCTAAACATGTTGAGGACAGTACGACAATATCTTTCTACTTGTCCATTTTCCTGATGCATTTCTGGTGTTATGAAATGCACTTCGATGCCATAAGCTGAAAGCCAATTCATAAACTCATGGTTGTCGAACATACGACTTCTATCACAAACTAGTCTTATTAGGCAATAGGAAAGGTGAATCTATGAAACTGTTAATTATTTTCTATAAGAAAAGTTGGTCTCTAGCTTGTCTACGTAAAGTAAGAGGAGACAAGAATTGTATTTTAGTAGAGGATACAGCTCTTTAACAGTTTGTAAAGTTTGTAGAATTTTCTATGAATGGAGTATAATTCATTTATATAAGTTTTATACTGAGGATTCCATATCGTAGAGGCATATCAAGGGTAGACCGAACATATGTGTTATAGAGCAGAACCAAAGTTGAACACTGTCTGAAGTCCCTCTTTTTTTTTGTGCGCACTGGGAAAAAATGCTTTACGCATCTCCTCTCCATCGGGGGACGGAGAGGGGTATGTGGGACTCCCCGGGAAAGGATACCCGGTATACTTACTAAAATAACCCAGTGGCGCTCCGACCTCGCCTGACTGGCAGGGGGCTGGGAATCCTGTTTGCATCCAGCCTCCTGTCTGAAGTCCCTACCAACTCGTAAAATAAATCCAAGCATTCGATAAGCTTTTGATTTTATGTAACAAATGTGAGAAGCATAAGTAAGCTTAGACCCAGTTTCACCAATCATGGTTAAATAAGTAACAATATTTGGGTCTTTCAACAATGTGCGTATTTGTGGTCCTACAAATATTCCTTCATTGAGTTTTGCATCAATTACCAGGTTTCATTGTAATATAGTATTTTATTTCGTTATTTGGTTATTATTAAAATTTATTTGACAATTAGTAGTACGAGTAGCGTTATTTTGATATAATATTTGTAATATGTTGTTTATTGGAACAAAAACTGTAGTTGTTGCTCTGTAAAGAGTAATTTCTTTAAATTAGACTGCTTAGATTTTATTTTTATTTTATTTTAAACGGTTCACACAACAGATTACAACTAAATATGCAAATAATTGATGAGTAAACATTATATATGAGCTGAGTTGTAATCCAACAATTATGCGAACATAGATTATATACTAAGAATTTTACTTATATAAAAAAAAAACACATCAGCACTCAACAATACATAACAAAACACACTTACAATTAATAGAAATAGTTTTACACGGAAAAATATGAACAGGTTACAGGAATCAAAATATAATGAAAAATAAAATGAAATTATAAACTAGTGACCAGGTGAGGTGAGGAACTAAATAATGGATAAATAAAAAAAAATAAACAAATAATATAGATTCGATCACTATTCTTGGCTGTTAATCGAAACCAATCGTTTTTTGAATAGCTTTAGGTTTTTGTTGAAAACGTCGATACCATCCAACCCGTCGTCTTCAAGAGAAACCTTATTAAAGATTCCTTCTTTAATTCAGAAAAACTTTCAAGGATTCTTGTAAAAGTCTGTTGAGGTTTTGATGTACTCTCCTCCAGTAAATATCCCTTAAATTGCACATTTAAATCTTCATCCGCATAAGTATCGCGTAATTCTGGTGTTAATGATGGATTTCTTGTCTTTTCTCGTGCCTTCTTTGTAAGGTTGCTTTTACTTTTTGAAAAATTTGAGTTTTTATCTACTTATTATGCAGTTTTACCGATTTTAATTGTTCCCGGATTAAAAACAGATTTTTATCAGCATTCATAATTAAGGTTATGCATATTACATTAGTCTTCACTCGGTTTCACAACAAATTCAAATTTCAACTTTTCCATTGTTTCCAACAGCTATTAATAATAATGTTGTTTTGTAATATGTTGTTTATTGAAACAAGAGAAATTTATTTTTGAAAGTTTGATACAATCAATATTGTACGGGTTTGCACATTAAAACTATGCTGGTTCAGTTTTCACAGTTTTTTATTTCTACACGAGTTTCTTAATATAAATCCGATCGTGGGTTGTAGGCTGGTGAACGTTTCACTGGTGAAGTCTTCCGATAGGTCTTGCTCCTGTGAGTCTTGCTTGCTTGCTTGAGTCCGAGCGTGATTAGTTATATTATATAACTTATATACCTATACATGCTATTTTTTACACATATTTTTTTTATACGAGGTTGCTGTATATTACATATTTGTATTTTACATTGTAACTTATGCTATGTTTCATGGCTATCCCACACAAATATTATATTTGCAAATACAATTTACGACTACTTATACATATATCTAGTACAAATTAATATTATATTATTTAATAACCTGCAAAGAGATACAACATTAAAAGCTATTGCTTCAATTTCTATTTTAAACAATAGTTTTATCGTTATAAATTATAGTAAGTTTAGGGGCTATACCATTATATTTAGTTCCTAATTTATTTCTTTATGAAATGGAGGTCAAGCGGGAGACCAAATAATAGTCATTGTTTGTTTCGGTTTTTACTTGGCGTGTTCACATTATAGAGCTCCTCTCTTAGGTCTGAGAGCTCTTTTGAGAGACGGGCATTGGCCGCCTCAAGAGCCCTCGTTTCCTCCGTTCTCGTACGACTCAGTAACGTCGCAGTGGATTCCCTAATCTCCATCGTGGCCATTTTGAGGGCCTTAATGAAGGGACCACTTAGGTTTTTGGATTTGGAGGCCACATTGGTTATGACCTCCAAGCTCTTTGCGATCGAGTTGCTGATCGTTGCCGTCGTCGTTTCGTCGTCTTCTTGACCCATCGTCGCGTCCGTGTGTCAGACTACTGACAGCCGGTGTGACCGTAGCTGTGGTAGTACTCTGGTCATTTCAGAGATTTGCCGTTCCGCTTCTGCTTGTTCTGCCAGGCGCTGAACTCTTCGCTCCTCTGCAAGCTTCTCTTTCTGCGCCTGGTGCAGACCGACGTATACGCCCGTGGTGGGCGGTCTCCCTCTCCCCTTCTTTGAGGGCTTCGAGGTACCCTTGTCAAGTCCGGGTACAGTGTCGTTGCTCCCCCGCCTCTTCCGGAAGCGACGTCTCTGCGATTCCTCATCCGATCCCGATCGTAGCGAGGTGACAGTATCACTGCCATTCTCGTCTGAGTCAGTTTGCGCGGAAGAACTTCCCTCTCGTTGCCGTGGTCACGGGCGAAGCCGTCCGCGACCCTTCACTTGACGTCCATACATCGGTGTGCATTTCAGACTCTGTAAATCGTTTGCCATAGTCGTCGTGTTTTTTGCCCTCGGTTGGGTTTTTGTTGTTCGAATTCTCCATACTTGATCCCACGAGTATGGGGGAAAAACGGTCCATCCGGGAGGTGCCCCCTGTTCCCGGATAAGCCTCTTAGTAACAGGGTGTCGGCCGGTACCCTGCACTGGTCCTCAGTAGCGACTAGCACACCCGCTAGCCACGCATCCCCTCGCGCTGCGCCGCGATTTGAGATTCAGGGTAATTTTTTATAGAGGTTTTCTTCCTCGCAGGCCGGCCAATTAAGGCAAGCCCCTCGGTCCCCCACTGAGCTGCGAGACATGATCCACGTCGCTGAGATGAGGGTTACGAGCTCCGCGAGTCATGCCATCTGCTTTCGCAGCAGCATGACCCGCACCCACACGGCCTCCCCAGGCCAGGACCATTACCCCTAAGGGCAACGGTCCTTCCCCCCCCCCCCCGTGACTGATTACGCCGGTGTTCCCCTACGGGCGATGGATTCGTCACTTCCCGACGCCAGAGGTGATTTTTTAGAGTGGTTTTCTTCCTACTAGTAATATTACCTAAAAATAACAGGCTTATATCCTAAAATTTCTTCAATAAGTTTAAAATTCAGCAAAAATGCATTATAAATCATACAAGTAACATATAACTTATTGAAAAAACAAAATTAAATCATATCTCATCTCATCATCAGAAATTATACATTTTCTTAATCTTTCGTTTCGGACACATTGAATCAATATATGATATATCTCTTCTTTCTTTTCGCACGCAACACACAGGGGAGAAGTAGCCTTCTTAATGAGGACCACAAAATAATTTAAAGGAACATAACCTGAAGGAATTCTAAACGCTAACACAAGGGTTTTTCTGTCAAAATAATATGACTCAAACCAAGGAAAACGAAACGGATTAGGCCAAAAAGTCCTGTACCAAATTCCTTTTTCCTGTGAAGTTTTCTCGAAGTGTTGCAAGACCAGTTTATGAATATGTTTTTTTTAAATTGGAACCAAATCAAAAAAGTAGGGTGAATTGCTAAGGGAAAATCCATTCACACTCGCTTCTTTCGCTAATTTATCCACCAAATCATTACCTTGAATTCCTACATGATATGGAATCCATTAAAATCTAATTTCTTTGTTGCGCATCTCCTTAAAAACATAATCGCCTTAATATTATAAGCTATCGGAACGCCTCGAAAAATCGAGGTGCACCGAGCTAAATGTTGAAGGTCACTTCTGGCGTCTGTTAAAATAACAAATTTTCTATAGTTAATTTTTTCTATATAAGATAATGCTTCGGCTAAAGCAAACAATTCGATATACATTATGGATAGGTAACTATACTAAACAAACGGGTGTGCATTCGCTGTCGGTACGAGTTTATTTTATATTCAATACATGTTTGTTTATTTTGGAATATTAATTGATAAAGTTGTGGTTTAAGCATAGATGAAGAGTGATCATATTGCGAGATTTGAGCCAGTTAATCATATCCTGTTTGCTTTAAATATGTCCAACGACATGACCATTATTAAGCAATTTCATTTAGAAATATGTTTCTTCAACTCAGAAGTGCTGTCATCTGAATATGATTTAGAAGAAGTGTGAGTCCTGGCTATACATGTTTGAAAACAAACGATTGGCAAGCCTAATAATAATAAACTTTATTGAGAAAAAAACACAATGCTTACACAATAATACATCAAGGTTGAGGTGCATTATGTTTTCAGCAAATTTTAAAATTTCGATTATCTTTGGACCCCACAATAGGAAACCTGTATCGTGGTGGCCTAAAATACGATATTCGGAAATTTTAATTAAATAAGCATTTCCTAGACAGCGTATCTCTTGTTTTTCAATAAAAAAATTTCTAGTGTCTTTTGTCCTTATCCATTTAAACCCTAAAAGAAACACTTCTTTACGTTATGACCAAATTGAACCTTGATACTTAATTTCTGTTTTAACTTCTTATGTAGTCACTTCGTTGTTACTCTTTATCAGTAATGTGAAAGGTGTGAAGCTGCTAAATAATTTTTTTTATAGATATGCCATTTAAAAAAATATGTATTTTAAGAATATTTTTATCAGCTCTAGTTTCCGAGTTTAAGTTATGTAAGAATAAAACATACATAGCATCAGTTTCCTTGTCTTCCTAGAATATTATTCCTAGAATTCCTAGAATACATTTAATTACAATTTAAGGAATCCTTGATGTCTTGTATTCAGTTCAATTCCTCCCTAATTTTTTTTAGTTCAACGCCTAGTTATTTATGTATAGTTTCTTCTACCTCTTTTCTAATAGCTGCCAATAAATCAACTTCCCCAGATAGTATGGGACTGTCATATACTGTGGCAGAGGTGGGGCAGTTTGGACTATTGTTATCTAAGTCAAGTATTTTTTTGTTGATTGTATTTGAGTTGTTAGAAACTTTCCGATTTGTATTAGTATTACAAGCTGGACATATCCACTGCACTCGTGATATTGTGGTATTGCTACTTGACTTACTTGCTATTTAAAGCATTTAATCCTTTTTTGTATTACTAGAACGTTGTTCTTGCATATATTGCATTCATTCGACATCTTATAAACGAAAAAACGAATATACGAAAAAATTAAATCACAAAATCTTTTCTTACTCCGATGAGGTTTGAACCCAGAATTTGCACGTACGTACTAAGCTTTGTACAAGATAGGCCAAAGCGTCCATTACACATTGTAGTTAAAAAGTGGTACATAACTTATTAGAGACTAAGTTTATGTGTAGAATAAATTAAAAAGGTATCTTTGTAATTTTTTTTCACTAAGTCGAACTGAGATTGTTTATTTTAATTTGTTATAACACTGTTATTACTTCACTATTAGCACTAAAACTTGAAAATTTTTCACTTTTTCCTATTTTAAAGATATAAACAGTTTCTAAGCACAAGAAGCGTTTAAAGCGATTTATTCCTTTGTTGTTATTTAGAGCAAGTAGACATAGTGTTCGCTGTTTGACGTTACGAATATGAAATAAACATCTTTGAATTAATATTTGCATTTTTTAAAATATAATCCATTGTATTCATTTTATTTCGCTTACTCCCGTTTCAGTTTCTGTTGGAACTTCTACATATTCCTCTACAAATTGGCTATCAGAGTTCAATACATTTATAAGCTCATCTTAACTTGGTCCTAGCAAAGACTCTGGGCTTGTAATGGACCAGGAGGATTGAGAGCAGGCCTGCTTCCTCCTGAAAATAAATAAAAGTTGCAGTGTTTATGTTCTTACGGTTTTAATATTATTTTATGAATTTATAAACCTCAAAGATGAAATAAATATGGATTTTACTTGTTAAGAGGGATTCCCGCTTTGCTAAAGCCTTCTCTTTCTTAAAATCTTTTAATGTTGTCCCAACATGTTTTTAATTGGTCTTTTTTTCTATTACAGAATAGTGATGTAACGAATGTTGGATTTTTCACATTCGCGAATGCGAATGCGAATGCGAATATTCATCTTCAATATTCGCGAATGCGAATGCGAATGCGAATGTTAAATTTCAAATAAAGCGCGTGCAAAATGTTTGACATTTCGTGTCGGCCATGTTTAAATTGAACATAGCCGAGCCGATACAGGTTGAATGAACGAAGTTAGTCACAGAAAGTTCATTCGAAAAGTATTGTTTTGATTTGAGGTTAGTTTGGTGTTATTGCATTTCCCAAATTTAACTGATATTCAAGTGACAAAGTGGTATAAAAACATGAGTAAAGCACGTGTTAGCGAAGTTTGGACTTATTTCACAATATATGATGCTGAAAATGTAAATTGCAAGTTGTGTGATAAAAAGTACTCGCGCAAAGGCAGGACCACTAGTGCTATGCGAAATCACCTAGAAACTAAACACAAAAATGAATATGACGAATTGAAAAGAAGAGAGCATGAAAAGCGAGGTGCTGCTAAAATAAATTCTTTGGCGTCCTCTTCGCGACAATGTACCAAAACCGACCTTAAGCAAATATCTTTAGGTGATTGCATCGAAAAAAATAAAAAATGGGATAACAACAACACCAAGTCTTTGGAGCTAGATAATTTAATTGGCGAAATGATTGCACTGGAGGACTTACCATTTAGTTTTGTGGAATGCCTTGGATTTGTGAGATTGATTAACCAAGTGTGCCCCTCGTATAATTTAAAATCTCGGCAATATTTTACTTCGTTTATTTGCGAAAAATTATATGGCAAGGTAAAAGATAAAATTCTGGAATTAATCAAATCATTTGAAAAACTAGCGTTTACAACTGATATCTGGTCTGATTCTTGCTCTGGGGTATCGCTGATAAGTTTCACTTGTCACGGAATTACCAAAAGTTTTGAAAGAAAAATGATTGTTTTGAAATCTGAAGTATTTAATGATGGGCGACATACAGGAGAAAATATAGCCGTAAAGCTAGAAACTATGTTGTCATCATGGGGAATTCCCAAAGAAAAGGTATTATGTATTGTTAGGGACGGTGGCACTAACATGAAAAAAGGTATTTCTTTATTAAATATTAAAAACATTGATTGTTTATCGCACCAAATTCAACTTGTTGTTAAGGAAGGGCTTAAGTCACAAGAATCTATCATTGCAGTCATTAACAAATGTAAAAAGATAGCAACACATTTTCACCACTCTAATGTAGCTCAAGATGAACTTGCTAATCTACAAGAAAAACTTAATCAACCAAAGCTCAAGATAATCCAAGAGTGTGTTACGAGATGGAATAGCAACTTTTACATGTTAGAACGAATTTTAAAAAACAAAGATTCACTGTGCCTTTATGCTTCCACTAACAACAAAATTTCACAACTAAGTTCAGATGAATGGATAGTTGTGGAAAAATTAATTACATTGCTTAAACCTTTTGAAGAAATAA